ACATCAGAATAGACTGTGCCTACACAGTTTTAGTTTCAGCGTTAATGCGCTGGCTGAGAGCTCCCACGGTTTGTCACTTGCGTATGTACACTCGTGTGTGGTGCAGCCCGCTAGCTGATTGTAAATTCCTTCCACAGACTGCACACAATGCCAAGAACCCAGCAGAACTCTTACTATGTAGTACTGCAGCATGTCTGATAGCCCATCCAGCCGGGGGTGTCCAGACTCTCATGCTTTCCTAACTCCTAGCTGGTCTGTGGGAATGATTGACAGGTGGGTTCAGCAGATGTGAACTTCTTTTTGTTGTTGTTGTTGTTTGGTTGGTTTTAATTATAGGAATGGATAGAAAGGGTAAATCTAAGAATTAAGGTAGCAAGATTTAGACCTCAACTGTGTATTCCTTAGTGAAGGGGATAAAGGCAGAGCAGATATGGCCGACAAATTCCTGAGCGCACAGACATCAGCGAGGAGGAGCATTGTTTGGTAGATGTGAGTTTAGCAAGCGTTCATCCCGAGCAATGACATTGGAAACAGCGCTCATTCACAGAGACCTGGGAGGGAAAGGAGAGCCCCAGCCAGACACACAGGTATTTCACTGAGGCGACTGCTCAGAGTTCACTGGAGCAAATGTGCCTTGCTCAATGAATTGGGCGCCACTCTGGGTTCCAGACTCATGGCCCGCAATGTGTTCTTTGTATCTTAAGTCTCCGGGTGGACTCCACGAGAGGATGCGTGGACTCTACAGTGAGAGGATTGAGTCCGCTGATTGCATCTTGCCCTGAGACCTAAATGGGACCGGAAGGACCAGCCATCATATGGAAATAAATCACATGCCAGTGATGTAAGGATCATTCCAGACATTATGAAATTGAATTTTCTTAACCCATTGGTGAGCAGGTATGTCGAGGCACAGGCCCGTGCCTCTGCCCATTTCTTAGAGTTACTCGTCAGGCAGCTGGTGACTCCCATGTGCACACATCTGTCCCTTCACCGGGGAATCAGTCTGCGGCTTTCCAACGTAAGACCCAGCATGGATTTATCCTGAGTTGATGGGATTCACATGCACAAGCCCTCTCCAAAACCTCCTTCTGATTTTACAGCCATGGTTTTGAGTTTATGTTCCTTAATGAAAGCCTTGCTTTGTATAATCTTTGGGCTCTGTGACATCTTGACCAACCTCAGCTTTGAGCAGTGGGAAATAAAACACACAAGAATTCTGTAACCATCAGCCTTACACCGAGATGACTAACTGAAACAGGATGGCCTCCATCCAGACCTCCCGGGTCTGAACACTGCTCCTTCTCTGTGTCAAATCCACCCACCTTGAACTTGAGAGGATCAGCGTGGTTGAGCATGCCAGGGGTACGGTAGACTTGAGGTACTACCTGCCCTGACCCCCGGACAAAGCAGGAGCACTCAGGGCTGTCACGGAGATTTTGAACATCCTGGTATCAAAGGTGACCCTGCTGGTGTGTAGATGGCTGCACCCTAGGGGGTGTGAGCTGTGAGATCACGGGAAGTATCCAACAAGACCCAGTCCATTCTGGAGCTCATTCTTCGCATGGTTTTCTCGTTATGTCCTTAACTGGGCTGGGGCTCACACATGCGTTTCTGTTTAACTGCTTTGTACTGGACACGGAGCAGCTTTGGGCACCTGTGTGCTTTAGTGCCCCAGATCGGAGCCCTGATTTCTTCTTGTGTGTCTTCTGCTGTGAGCATGATCAGACAGCCTTGATTTGTCTTCATAGTGCGACTGAAATAGCTGGGATTTATTGTCTAGAGAATCTGGCAGAGAAGCACACGGGGCTATGACTGAGTTTGGGCTTGCTGAAGTCTTCCTGCACCAGAGGAAATGCACGTCGCTTGTTAAAGAAGGGCACAAATGTGTGTGACTCCAAGTCCTGGGAATGCGTGTGACCCTCTACAAGGGTCTTAGCTGCACTGTAAGAAGAGACTCCCCGTAGTTGTCTCAATGAATCCGGAGTGCATTGCAACAGCTGTCTGTCTCAAGTTCAACCTTTCTGGCTTTTCCTGCATCCAGGAGGCAGAACCAGGGCTCCGTGCCTGCTGGGCACATGTTTTACCACTGAGCTATGCCCTCATCTTGCCTTTTAGAAGGAATGTCCGTGTTTCTATTTGTTTTCCATCTCAACAAAACAGCATTTAGTCAACGAGACTTCTTTCTGGGAGTCCTTTGCTTAACCATGTTAATGTTTTCTCCACCTGCTGCGTGCCCTTTGAAGGGAAGGAAACAGCTGGTTCCCTCCGTCCCCTCGGTCCAGGAGAAATCTAAGACTCTGCTGTCCTAAGGTTGCCTGGCTCTGAACTTCTGATAGCAAAGCTCTCTGACCTGACAGGGGAAGCGGCATCCAGGAAGCCACCTGAACAGCAGCAAGGAGCCAGGAGTGTTGGGTCATACCTGCCTGTTTGTGGGGCACTGTGTCCTTGAGAGGCACCGGGCCAGGCCTGTCTGTGGCTCACTTTGCCCCTGTGCTGTCTGCCACTTCCTCCTTTCAGGGAAATGGAGGTGTCTCTGAGGAGATACATGTGAAGGACAGAGTAGCTGAGAGAGCAGGCAGCAACTTCTTTCTGCTCTGCTTCTTGCCTTTGACCACCCATAAGCAACTCTTTGCTGGTGTAGAAAGCAATATTAATCCTTACAGGAACCTCCTGACTGTTTTCACCGAGAGGATGTGAATAAACGAGGCCCTGCATTTGCTGCACACACAGAGGAGGGTAGAACTGTCGTTTCTGGAAGGAAATCAGAAGGCAGCCCCTCAGAGGCATCTGCCGCCTCCTACAGGTGCTCCTGGGGCTGGCACTCACCTTCTCTCTGCCCACCTTCCCTCACTGTTCCATGCTCATCCTGGGATTATGTACAAATTCATTCTAGCCTAAGCTTGGGACTCTAAAGGGTCCATTCAAGTGAAGCAGTGAGCTGCTGCAAGGCTCAAGCGGGCGGACCACTGCCTAGGAAAGTGTGGGACACTGATTGTGTAAGTCAGAGAAAGGCTTCGCTGAAGATGCGGCCTAAAGCCTCCTGAGTGGGCTCTCTGATCCTCAGCACATTCTGTCATTTGGGTAAATATAACTAAGCATACATATGATACACATACACATGTATCCACACGTGCACATACAAGAACACACATATAAACACACATATATACATGCACACACAACATACATACACATGCATTCATGCATATGTACACACCTCCCCCCTCCCCAACAACCACAGAAGCCTTCAGATTTCTTCCTTGAAGAAAGGGAGGAGGCATGCCCTCAGGTCTGAGGGAAGAAGCCAGAAAAAACCTGTTTTTGTTAGCTCCGGGCCCGCTGGCGTGAGAAGCCCGTGGTCTCACTCTTCTACCCCAAAATGTGAGCTGTCTGCACGGGTTACACGTGTGAGTGGGGAAACCAGGGAGTGGCACTTTTGTAAAGTGGCCACGGATGTTAGTGGGAGGAAGGAGTGGTAAGGGGGAGGGCTTCTTAGAAACACATTTTGCCCGAAGCCAGCAGAAGCACACACGTCAGCTCTGTCTGTTTCCCTAAGACCCTCACAGTGCTCACGTGGGTATCCGGGGAAAGATTTGATCTGTTAGGACTCAAGTTTCTGGGGATAGGACTGCAGGCAACCTGGCTAAAGTTTTTCAGCCTCCAGCCTTGTGTGGAAACCCCACAGGTGACCTCTGGTTTGTGCTCCGTGGTCATTTATTTTACTTCAGAAGGCAGGTTGTTAGGAAATCAAACCCCGGGAAGGTTTGGAAAGAGCATTTCCCTGGGAGCCACATGTGAGGTGAGTTTGTAATTAATGCTTCATCTTAGGTCACCCTCATGTGTAGTGTCCACACGTGAGCGGCATTTAACAGCACATTCCACTTTTATGTGACACTTTCCTTTGATTTTTTTCCCCTAAGCACGGCTATTAATTGGAGAGAATTTGTCACCCAAGGCTGTTACTGATGGTGACCTGTTTGTTTAACCCTTCACGAGAGTGGGCAGAGCAGAGAAGGGTCCGAAGTCACCGAGGCTGCTGTGTGAGCATGAGCTGGAGATTTGAGCTTGCCAAGAGGGGACTTTGCAGCCCATTAATAACCTGGACACTGACCTGGGCTCTGGGGTGGAGGGGTGAGCGCATTCAGATAAAAAGAAGGTTGGCTGGACTTTTGGATTGTGGGGAGGGGGCAAGGTTTGGACCTCCGTTTTCCAGAGATAATTTCTACATTTGCTGTGAGTTTTCTAACTTGTGACTGAAAGCATCTGTGGGGTCACAGAATGTCTAAGAAACAAATTCTTACTTCCTCCAGGCGACTGAACGCGGAAGTGTAGGGAAAAGACAAAAGCAGGCTTTGCAGGGGCCGGTGGGAGACTTCACCCAGCCCTGGGCTCCTTAGCCAAGAGCAGTCTAATCCACATGGAAGTATACCCCATCAGCGAGAGCAGTGTTCTCCCTGGGTCGCCAACAAAGCGGTCTCTTAAGTCAGACTCCCTTCACTCCTTGACCCCCCACAGAAACTAACAGAGCCCTTTCTTTTTGTTGAGAGTTTTAAATGTTTGGTTGAGGATTTGCCTTACTTCTATCTAAACTGACTTCTCCAGTGACAAAAGAAAATGACAGCCAGGGGACTTACAAAAGACCAGTATAGTCCCTGGAAATCGGTAGCACGCTCCTTCTGACACCCAGCACAGGAAAGCATTTGAGCAGTGCCCAGCAATTCTCAGACTTAGACCCCTTACACCCTCCCCACGCTGGGCAACATCTGCTTAGTTTGTTATTTTCTGCAGACAAGGATAAAACGCGCTCCCCTCCCTCTGCCCTCCCTCTGCCCACAAGTAAACAGCCCCTGTAAATCCCCAGATAAGCTTGGCAGGCTAGAACGATTTAAGAAAGTATTAAAAGAAGGGCAAGGTTTTCATTACCTTTAGAAGTCAGGTTTTTCAGAAACATCTCCAGAAAGCTGAGTGCCCCCACGTTGACATAGGAGCCTGCCTCTTACCTGCAAAGAGTGCCCAGTGCAGGCTCCTGGGCGACCAGGCAAGGAAATGATCAGTCCATGCAGGGTGCCTTGGAAAGATAGGTGCGGAGGGTTTTCAAAGTGAAGAAACACTCTGGCTGTTCACTGTCAGTCAAAAACAAGTTGGTACAAGTTTCTGTAGGAATTACCTGAGGGGAATGAGGAGAGAAAGAAACAGATTGGAAGAGATTGAGTGGGGAAGGAGGGACAGAGAAGGAGGGAGGGAAGAAAGGAGAAAGGGGGAGAGAGGGGGAATAGAAGAGAGAGAGAGAGAGAGAGAGAGAGAGAGAGAGAGAGAGAGAGAGAGAGAGAGAGGAATCTGAGAAAGGATCCCATGATGTCAGCATGACTTAAAGTCTTAAGGAAAAGTACAGACCAGCGCAGGGCAGCTCAGAATGGCACCGACTCCCCAGCTCTCCGGGCACCTGTGTATGAAAGAAACTGAAGTCCTTATTACAGAACAGCAGTTCATTTCTGGAGAAACTTTGTCCCGTCTTATCAAAGTCCTCTTAAAGGTTCCTTTGCCTAAGTAAACTATAAACAGATTATCTTTCTTAAGGAGCCAGCCTGAGTCTCCTGTTCCCGCTCCCTCCCTCTTCCCCCACCCCACCCCAAATGAACACTAATCAGCATCCTGGCTCCCGGGGAGAGCAGGGGACAGCAAACTCACTTGAGCCATGTCTACCACAGATTATGCCCAGGGAGAATGGCACCGTGGGGAGGAACCGCTGTTTTCAGTTCTGCCCTCCGTGGTCACAGTGATTTTTTATTTATTGATTGATTGATTTTGGGGGACTGATTTTGTTTACCTCCAAGTAGTTGGAAAGATAAGGGTCAAGCTGGCTTCTTCCAGACAAGACAGTGGGAGCTGGACTGGGGTTCTGGGTTAGAATTAGGGCTTAGCAGTCTTGTTCAGAATCTGGCTTTTTATTAATTATTATTAACAAGAAGTAGCCAGCCATGCTGGGAGAAGCCCCTAAAAGGAGAGTTCTAGTGTGTCAAAACACCCATCTACGGGTCTGCGTCCTTCCTGGACTTCTTCTGCCATCTTCTAGCAGTATATACAGAGATTCTGGAGCATCCTTAGAGGGGAATAGTTTCCCGTGGAACTTCCTGAGTAGCGATGCCCTTTGCTAGTCTAAAGGAAGTACAAGAAAGAGCAAAGACTCTTTGTCAGAAGAACATGATGACGTACTTGTGTGTCCCCCACTTCCCCGCCCCCTGCTTTGCCAGGCACCTGCACCCCTGTTCTCAACTAAGCCCATACCATAGTCTTGATGAGGTCTTAACCCACAGGGTACATGTCCGATGGGTGGTCCTTACCTAACACAGTCCTGCCCCAACTCTGGATCTCTGTTTTCCTTGCTATTTGATACGTCAGTTATCACCGCTGGAAGCTCCTCTGACTCTGGCATTTGCTGTCTGTGCTTCATTTCCAAGTTCCTCACTTGTCTTAGATATTAACTATGTCTTTCCAGGAATACCCAGCTCAACATGAGTCCATACAAGCATCCTTGCTCTTTGTACATTTGCACACATATTTACATATTATTGGTATTATTACATGTATCGTGATGTATAATACATGTACTTGCCAAGTAGATTGAAAGGCCATGACCGGAGGATGTAGTGATCACAACAGAGCTTCAATTCTCATCTTCTGTATTTGATGCGCGTTCCCAGCATCGGCTTCAATTGTTCGAATATTCTTACCCCAAAGTATAAAAGTCTTACACGAATTTTATCTATTCGATGCTCAGACCAGAATATCAGCATGATTAATTGTTGCTTATGGGGAAGGAAGGGGAAACCAGAGAGACTGATCTCCCCAGAGCCAGGTCTACAGTGCAGATGGACTTCAAGACATTTCATGGTCCACGTGCATTTCATTGCTCTGCGTTTTTCTTGTTAGTGCACTGGAGTAATTCACATGCATGTACACAAACATGTGAATATGAATATCTTCATATGTGGAAGTTCACGTGTTTATATGTGAGTATACATGCTAATCATGTTCCTTTGAGCAGCATGTAATATACCTCGTGCAGTTTAAAACAGCTGCAAGTTTGGTTTCTTGCAGAGTCATGTCTAGTAGAGTCAAAATTCATTTATATAAATGAAGACAATAATAATAATTTATAACATAATAATAATAACAATGAGAGAAGAAGTAGTAAGAGTACATTTGGGAAGTTAAATTCTTAGTGTTCTTCATTGTGAAGATGCTTGCTTTTTCATTCTTTATAATGGTGATAATCAATAATTAGATCCTGTGGTTGCCGGTCTGACAAAACTCACCAGGTGAAGTGAGGCACTAAAAATATAAACCTGGGTGCTCACAGGGGAAGTAAGAAAATTCTAGAAGAACTCTCCATGAGACGTCAGTCACCAGAAACAGACTCTGTTTTGCATGATGTAACAGCTGAACGACTCGTCTAGGTATCTTTGGAAATTTCAGAGGCTGAAGGGAATAGGAAAACCTTTTAATCTGGCAAAAAATATTTTGTGTCATTAATCTCTTTTTTATCCAGTGAATAAAATCTGTTCCTCATCCTGGGGTTAAGGTGCAGATTTTAAAGTGGTGGAGTCTGGAATTGGCTACCTGATAACACAAGAGATTGTTGTCATGCACGTTGGTTAAAGTATTGATCCGGCAGTCTAAAGCCCAGCAAGATGGCTTGTTCATAATCTCCTTATCCCTCCACCCCTCCCTTCGAGTTAAATGAAAGCAATAGATGTGTCTAATTTTCACAGAGCATAATCTCAAACCTGCATTTGTATCTGGCTTTTTCGAGAGGAACGTCTCCCCAGAGCAGTTCCTAAAGGGCGCCATGAAAGCTGCCGGTGCTTTCGGTTCTCCTGGTTTGAATCAAAGCACAAAGAACCTTGAAGTATGGGGAGAGGAACAAATACTGACTTCTCTGAGTTGGGTTAGCCGTGCACAAAATGTGGCTTTGTTTACAGAGCACCCTGTCTGGACTGATGGTGACCACCAGCATCTTAGAGCAGGGTGCTAAGGTCCCAGCGCCAACCGTCAGGAAGGACGGAGGCAGTGTTAGGTTCACCCCAACACTCCATTAGGCAGATGGCACAAAGTCACCAACCTAGAGGTGACTCAACGGGGAAACATTGCCTCCAAGCTATTCTCTGTAGGGTGACTGACAGCTCTGGGCTTAGCACTAGAAATGCTAAGACATCCCATAGTCCAGGCAAACAGCTACGGTGGGTCACCCTATCCAGCGTGGATACTTGGCTTCTTTTGTTTTCTTTTTCTTTTCTCTGTTTTTTCTGTCAGGGTCTCACAGTGTAGTCTTGACTGGGCCTTGACTCACAGAGATACACCCAGATAACTGGGGTTAAGTATGCATGGCTGCACCCAGCCACCCTCTCTCTGTTTTGAAGTTACCTATTTTAACGTTAAACATTAATTTGAAAATAAAAATTGTTATTCTAATATTCTAATATAGTCACACTAAGTAAACAGTGGCCAACAATCTGTAAATGTTAATCCAATGGGAAAAATACAACTTAAAAAGTTACGTTCATGACCCATGGGCCTCTGCTCAGAAGCTGCTCGCTCTTTAAGCCCTTCCTGAGTTATTTGGTGACTCTAGGTCCCTCTTGGTGACATGTAAGTGTCAGCGAATGACATAGTACCTGCTGGCCCCCGTTGGCCAGTCGCTATGAAGGTGAGCTTTCACTGTTGACCGTGTGAGCTGGCAAACAGCAGAACATTGCCTGCAGGGTAGAACGGCCATCTGGCCCACTGCGTCCACAGCCACCCTTCCTTCCTGGGACATTCTAACCTGGACGTTCATCTGAAGATGAGCTTGAATGCTGGCTTATGTTACCTCCTATTGTTATTTAGCTGTGCATTGAGTAGGTAGGTATCTACCTAAGCCAGACAGAGAGATGTCCTGGGCATGTCTCCACCAAACGTCCAAACAGAGAAAATTATTCATAGCAGCTTGGTTTTTAGCCAACCTGCAGTCCAACAACCATTTTTACATATTGAAATAGTCCATTGCTGACCTCGTGATGGTCAGCCTGTGTAATGTAAAAGACGATTGGAATAGGCATTTGTAGATGGTTCTACTTCTTTACCCATGGGTCCCTACTTGGTGATAAACTGGATATTGTATTGGGGTACCCCTTTTCTTGGGTTGGTGATAGCAATCATTGGGGGAGGCATTTGGTTCTATCTACTGAGTGCAGCTACTGTCTTCTGCCACCTCCAATCATCCTGTTGACAAAGAACCCCCCTTCAGGTCTCATCTGTTCTTACTTGCCTTTTCATGATACTTCCACCCCCGAACATAGGCAAGATCTCTTTACCAATTTTTCAAAGTTAGTGCTTGGCTTCTGGTAGAGACTGTGAGTTCACATTACAATTTGGGGGCCATTGCTTTATCTAACTGTGGCACTTAAGTGGTACAACTATGTTATACCCTCACTCAAACACCCTATGGATTCCTTGAAGCAATCCTGATTCTTCATGAGCACCCTGTTCCCATACTGCACAGGGCAGCAAAACCTTAGCAGCCCCCAAGCACGCCCTCAGCATTTATTATAAGCAGGGAAGGGAAAACACCTGTGTTCCTTGGGTTTTGATGTTGGAAATTTTCCCATTGCACAACTGTCCCTTCTTGCCAAATATTCCAGTTACTGTGGAAAAACTGAGCAATGAAAATTGGCTAAATGATGTCAAGTGACAGAACCCAGCCAAGCTGTCATTAAGGTCTCCAAGAACGCCTGTGACGAAGAAATAGGAGTGGGGAAAGAGGGCGCCTCTGCCTTCTAGATCCTTGGCTGCACACCCCACCTATTTCTTATTTTTAGCTAAGTCACGATGGGAATTAACGGGACATTGTCTAGAAAGCGATGTCCACATAGCGAGTGAAAGGGCGGGCTAAAGGGAATCTGTGCTGGCGGGTGGCTCTGCAGCCCAAGCCAGTCGCCTCCCTGGACTCATGGCCACAGCTCTATTTGAATGAAGCGCACTTAGAGAGACCCTGGAGATAGGTTTTGATTGTCCTTTTCTTCAACAGCCAGCGTGGAAAATTAAAGCAGCTAAAAAGTTATGAATGAGCCAAGGTCAAACTCCCAAAATTGGTAGACTCCGTTGACTGAGAAGGGAGTGACTGGATTTACTTAGCTTCTCCATTAAGAAGGAAATCACCTTGTGCTCATTCAATCTCTCTCTTTCTCTCTTCTATGTCTCTCTCTCTCCCTGTGTGTGTGTGTGTGTGTGTGTGTGTGTGTGTGTGAGTGAGTGCGTGCACGTGTGTCCGTGTGTTCCTGTGCATACAGGTTCATGTGTGTGTGAGTGGATGCCAGAAGTCAACCTTAGGTGTCACTCCTCAGATCATCCACTCTGGTTTTTGAAATGGGGTCTCTCGCTGAGATACTGGGCTTATGAATCG